TTGCACATGCGAATGAAGTGGATTTTTTGAAAAACGACCGTTCGGGCAACACTTTCAATTTTTCAATGAACTAAAAATTCGCATATTTTCAAAAATTCGTTCTCAGCTCAGACCTTAACCACAATCGTGTATGTAAATGAACGCGATTTTTTCGGAGACGACCACTCGGGCAATACTTTTACTTTTTAGTGACCTGGAAATTTGCATTTCAAAAAGGCAGGAAAATTTGATGGAGACTCAAACTTTTGATGCAAAAACGCATGATCGCACCGGCTCGCCTGGTGCGTTCCAGCCTGGGTTTTAAATGGGAAAATGAATGCGAAAACGCATGATCGCACCGGCTCGCCTGATGCGTTCTAGCCTGGGTTTATGCATTTTGCCTACACGCAAATTGCAAATGCGCATAATGCGACGATCCTGTCTGCGCGTGTATATGTGTATGTTTGTGTGTGTTCATCTGTCCGGGTATTTCAACTCGGTAATCAAGCAAGCTCCTCTGCTAAAATTTTTCTGGTGGGTTCCCCTGCTGAGTGCCACCCAGGACCGTGGTACCAACCCCCACGCAAGTCTGGGCCCGCATGTGAAGGGGCGAAAATTTTCGGGGGAAAATGGGCAACTCGGGAACAAGAAAAAGTAGCAAGCTGAAATTTTAAAGTTATGCCCCCCGTCCACATATAACTCAAAGATTCCAAATTCAGTCCGCAGGTCTGCGTGATGCCAGCGTACGCCCCGTGAGATTTCCTGGCACGAAAATTACTAACTTGGGAGTCAGGAAAGCTGGGAGGCTGAAATTTTAGGGAGATGTTCAAAACCCACGTGCAACTCAAAAGTCTTAAGTCTGGCCGCCACGTATGCCCGAGGTCACGTGTGCCCTCGTGAAAGTTTTGGCAGGCAAATTGCTAACTCGGGCACTAGAATGCTGAGATTTTGGGATAATATTCCCTGTCCAAATACAACCTAAAGTTTCAAAACTCAGCCTCCAGCTACGAGTGGTTCGCGTGTATGGGCACTTAAATTTTTCGCGGGAAAATTTTTCGTTCTACAGGTGGGTTTTTTTAAAAATGACCGCTAAATGGAAATTGTTTATTTTCGTTTATGCAAAATTTACGATGACTGAGCTCAAAGGTATGTATGAATTAACAACCATTCATGCAGTTAACCTAATTGGTTCCAGTTTTGTGCAAAAACGCATGATCGCAAAGCAAGCTTGGTGCGTTCCAATCTGGGTTTATTCACATGTTGCACAACAAAGATCAAAAATTTAATTGTCATTCAATAAGATGTAAAAAAATGAAAAATGGGATGGTTAAGCATTTACGAGCCTTGGTTTTTAACTGATGCGCAGGCAGTTGCTTGAAGTATGAAACGACAGCTTTCGAGAATCGTAAGGGTAAAATGCTTTCAGAACTGAGTTAGAACGGTTTAATTTTCAATATAAAAGTGGATTGTTGATGCCGGCAAAGCGTACGCTTGGCTCCAGCCTTGTCCATTTCTTGTAGCGCCCAATGTCCAGTGTTAAATAATCAGAATCATCGGCCGGCATCATTTTGACCAAATACTGTTCCGGGCCTCGATATGGCATTGCTATTGCCGATCGCGTCGCTGATATGCTGAATACTGCTGCAAAGACTTTTATTACACAGCGAAAAAACGCTTTATTCCTATAGGCATAAATGTCACCCATGCTATTACGATTCAGTGAGGACCTTTGAAATAATCCAGGCTGGAACGCACCAGGTGAGCCGGTGTGATCATGCGTTCTTGCACCATACTTGAAGTAAGTCAACAGCATGAATGGTTACTGCTTCACACCTACCTTGTGCGCTCAATGCCGTAAATCATCGTAAATTTTGCATAAAAGAAAATAATTAATTATGCGTTCTTGCCTATATGCAAATTGCAAAAACGCATATTGGGACGACCCTGTCTGTGTGTGTATGCATGTGTGTGTGTATATGTTTGTGTGTGTGTGTGTGTGTGTGTGTGTGTTCTTCTGCCCGGGTATTTCAACTCGGCAACCAAGCAAGTTCCAGGGCCGAGATTTTGCTAATGGGTACCCCGGC